CCGATACAAACTGTAACGATTCCAGAAATATTTAAAGGAAATAACTAATATTAAAGTGCAAAACCAAAATAAATATTCAAGATTTATATTCCTTACACGATAATCTAAAGTACTAAACAGTGTTACAGAATTTAACTCTTTTTAAAGAAATACAATAAATAAGGAAATGAACGGAAAATAAAAAAAAAACTTAGCATATACTCGCAATCCTCTTGCGTATCGGGCCCTAGATCGTAGTCCTCTTGATCTGAAATAATTAAATAATGGATGAGCTACACTAGTCCAGTAAGAATATCATATTATATTACTGACACATAAAAGACGGTTAGTAAAAAAAATCAAAAAACAACTAATGAAGCACTAAATTAAGCAAATTCATTTATCAATAATAAAACTATTTACCGTCCACTTACCGTAGTGAGGTTTATAGAAAATAACCTATAGAAAACAATCACATTATACGTATCATGATTCTGTATAAAATTGGCAATATAGCACATATTATATTTTCATATTCAAATCATCAAACAATAATTACGTCTTTTTTCACCAGTTTGCTGGTATCCATGGGGGTTCATAGGGGGGGTTTCTCCGCTATGCGTGAACCTTTTCCTTTAACATTCTCAATTACGAGCCGTCCCCATACCCTATCCAGTATGAGAGTAAAGCGGGCCGTCCCCATACCCCGTCCGGTATGAGCACCAAGTTACCAAATCTCTATACCCCGTCTGGTATGAGACACGTTCACGATAGGGTTTCCTGTGTACCCGACCCGTCCATCATCTCCCAAGATATTCAGTAAAACTGTCGTTTCATCCAGTCACTTAATCACATAAATTTTCCGTTTACCCTTAACCTTCATTTTTCCAATTCAACCATAAACACGTAAAACAACGATAAATGCATTCAAAGCTATAAAATAAATCAATAAGGCACTACCATACATTTAAACTGTAAAAACAATCAACAAAATCAATAGAGAATAGTTTCTAGTTCTGGCTCCATTAGTAATCTGTAATTAATCATGAATATTTTCTAAATTGTACAAAATATCGTATTTATTGCTAATTAGACTTCAATTCTATAACAGAGAATAGGGTAAAGGATTCTTATTCAATTTGGTGCCCAAAAAGCTAAGTTATTTACTGCGCCTACAAGCGGTTCCCGGGTTCCCTGAAGTTTTTTTGAGAATCAAAACGCACTATAAGTATCTACAAATGTCCCAAACAAACCCAAAATCAGTCTCAGGGCCCACTTTGGCCAATTTTGGAATTCCGGCATGGTGGCCGTGCTCCAGCAATAGCTGCGACGCTCACGGCGGTGGTCCACCTCGGGTTGGTTGTTTTCGGTTGGATTCAGCCGATTTCGTATCAATCCCTATGATAAAACATGTTAAGGGGCTCGGTTGGCCGAAAAAATACAAAAAACTGAAACTCACCGGTGGCAAAGCTCTCTGGTGCGGCGGCTCCTCTGACTCATGTTGCGGTTGGATGTTTTGTTTCGGTCAACCTATAGAGAAGAAAACGGTGATTACAATGGTGAAAAAATCAGGTAAAACGAAAATCGAGAAGGGTCTCATCGGAGGAATTTTGTAAAATTTCCTACGGTGGTGCCACCGGGTTTTGTCTATGTTTTTTGGCCAATTGGTTGGTCCTTTTGCTTCGATTTGCCCATGCGTGTGTTTAAAATTGAATTCTAATAAAAAGTAGATTTTTTTACCTTTTTTGGCAATCGGAAAGGGCTCCGGCGTGGCAACGGGTGGCGGCGGTCTCCTTCCTAGCGGCCGGGTCTTCTTCTCTAGCGAGGGGGTCTGGCGACTAGGGTTAGGGTTTGGTGTGGATGAGGGTTATTTATATCCATCCACTTTTGATCTGGACCGTCAATCGAGTTTGATCTGTACCGTCCGATCGCGATTAAATAGGGAGTGAATCTGGATCGTTCATCACGATCCAATCTAGACCGTCCATCACGATCTAATTTGGGTTGTTCAATCGCTTTCAAATCTGACCGTCCGATCACATTTGGGGAGGGAACGCATCTGGGTCGTCAGTGCACGCTGGAACGAATCTGGGTCGTTCGATCGCGGACACGCAAATCGCCCGCGTGGTACCGCATCAGTATATGCTGCCACGCGACGCGTCCTGATTCATCGGACCTGCTGACCGGGCGTCTGATGTGGCGAAACTTCTCTAAATTGCATTTTGACCCATGATTTTTTATTTTTCTTTCAAAAATATCTTTAAAATCTAAATTTTGACACATTTTTCCCAAAATTATTTTCAATTTAATCTTTCATTAATTTTATTTCATTTTCACTCTCAATTAAAATTAAAAAAAATTAAAAAATTAAGAAATTATATTTATAATAAAATCTTAAATTACTAAAAATTAATTTAAGGTGTTACATATGACATGGCCATTTTATTTTTGGTAACTTAAAGAATTATATTATAAATACTTTTAAAATTTTATTAATCTCTCAGTTTAATATTTACAATTTTATTATATTTTTTAATCTGAATTTTTGGACAAAAAAAAAACTTATCTTACATAATTAATTACTGGTTTATAAATACTTTTTAAATTTTACTAATCTCTCAGTTTAATATTTACAATTTTATTATATTTTTTAATCTGAATTTTTGGCCAAAAAAAAACTTATCTTCCATAATTAATTACTGGTTTATTTTGTAATAGTTGTATATGTTATTCCTAAATATGAATATGTAAATAAATATTCAAAATCCAAAATCATAATTAAATAAATTAAAAATTAAAAATTAATATACGTAACATAAAAGCTAAATTAAATAAATTTTATAAAGTTGGGAGGGGTTTTTTTTATATATAGAGAAACATATTGGACTGCATAAAATAAATATTTATTACCTAAATTTATCAATTTCCGACGTGGAAATAATAATCCAAAATGGATAAGAACGAAAAATACGAAGCATTATTGATCAGATCTCTCTCTAGTGCTCACAATATAAATAAATAAATAAACGGGTAATTATTTTCTCATTTTTGGTTTTTTAAATTAACTATTTTTGTAATTTAAAAATGCTAATTACGCCAAATTAAAAAATAAAATTAATTAAAAGCAAAAATAAATTAATACTTAATTCAAAATTATCATACAACGTGTTTAAATGAAAAGGCGAGAGATTTAAATTAATTTTAAAAAATTCTAAATAACTAAAGCGGCTCCAATGCCCAATAACCAGCATAAAGCGGTTCGGGCCTCGTATGCGGACCTTGAACCCGACTCGTCGCTAACCGGACCCTGAACCGTTTCGGGCGCCAAGTTTGATGCCGCAGGAGACATAGGAGGAGTGCCAGTCGACGGGAAGACAATAGGCGGTGGAACGCCGTCGGATGGAGACATCTCAGGCGTGGCCACAACAGCCGGACCTTCTGCTGTTGCTGGTGGGGCCCCGACCGGAGTGATTGCTGGAGTTTCCGCCGTTGGAGGGGATGTCGGGGAAGAGGACGGAGACGGGGAAGTCACAGTAGGTGTGGGAGCGGCGGCCGGAGTTGTTTCTGGAGATGGGAGCGGGGCGGTAGACGGAGTTTTTGCAGGAGTTGGTGCTGGAGTTGCTGCAGGAGGAGGCGGCGTTGCTGGAGAAATAGTTGGCGAAGCAGATGGCGGCGATGTTGCTGGAGAATGGGAAGTGGGTGGTTGAGAAGTTGTTGGAGGAGTCGTCGGAGAAGCCGCCGGAGTTATTTTTCTAGAGGGTATCGGCGACGGACTAGGAGCATTATCGGCTTGAACCGAAGCGGAAATGGAAAGGCAGAAAACAAACATGGAAACTAGTATTACGAGCCTATCCATCCTCTCCGCTTACTGCTATATCAAGGCCCAGTAAACTGTGAAATAACGAGGAGAAGAAGACGAGTGAGTTTGTGTTGAGGTTTCTGGTTCTGGTTTTAATGGAGGAGAGATTGATATAAGGAAGAATTTGAAGGCTAAACGTTGTGATTTCTGTTGGGTGATGTTCGTTGATTGGGAAATGTGACCGTTAGAATTGTGGGGTATTAAGGGGTAACCGGTTATAGCAAGTAAAGTAGCCGTTACTTGGCAGTATTTGACCGGCTGCTTCCAGTTACAGTGAATTTTTTAAACAAAATCTTAAAATAAACATTAAACTTCTATAATTATTAGAATAGTTTAGTAACGTTAAAAATTAGTATTCAAAATATTCATATAATCAAATGATATATATATAAAGTTGCTTTGTATTTGCAAAAGAATAATTTTAATTTTAAATATAGATAGAAGGTATTCCAAAGCTTACCACTTGTTTCCATGTACATTTTGGTAGCTTATAACCTTAAAAAATAATTTATAAAAAAAAAAAAACAGAAAAAGTAAAATATAAGAGTTTTTATTTTAATAAATAATAAGGTCCACCCATTGCTTTTGTTTTTTAAGTCTATACTATATTAATGCTGAATTAATAAATAATTATTTTTATTAAATAACATAAATAAATTATTCCCCATTCTACTCTTTTAAGTCTTTTCAAATTAATTTATATAATTTTTAATCGATCGCATGTTCCAAAAATCGTTTAAGTACCAAAGGGGAGGAAGAGAATTTTAGAACCCCTTCCCTAAACGGCGTCGTTTAGGACAGATGGTTTAGAGCGCTTCCAACGGGCTAGGCCTTTTCCTTTTGGAGTCTGGCCCAAGAAAGCAACAAAAATTTGACTTCTTTGTGTTTTTGTCAAATATTTGTTTTAATGCTTTTGAGTTAAAATAAAAATTGGATGGGGCTTATCTCCCTTCTAGGTTTGATCCTCATTTTGGTTTTCAAATAAAATTAAAAAATAGATTTATAGAATAAAAGAAAAACACATATGTATATGTATACTTTTAAAGCAAAATTTTGCCTGAGTTCATAAATACTAATGATATAGAGTTTTTACAAAGTTGTAAATTTTTATGATTCAAAAGACGAAACACAATGTGATTCACGTCCCATTTATCTCATACGACAAACCTCAACAATTTTCTTTTTATCTCAATTCTCATCTCTTGATAAAATTTTCTTTATAAATTATTTGTTTTTTTCGTATGAAAATAAATATCGTGTAAAAATACTTAACACTGTTATGTAAACCTATTATTTTTGTATCACCGTCAATATAAACTTTAATAACATGGTATATTACTTCATTTTGGATTAACTCGTCAATTTGGAGTCACAATAGGTGAGGGTGTACTAAATACATTTTGTTTGGTGAGATCAATAAGAGGTGAAGGATGATATATTCTTTTTAACTGAGCATGAAATGAGATAAAGAACAAGGCTTGGAGGTTAGAGAAGTCTATGGTTATTGTTTTTTCCTAATATAAGTTGTTGATAATTGAGATATCTAGACTTAGAGCTTCCATGTTATTTGAGTTCAGTCGTTAGAGTTTTTTATTTAGAATATTGAAAAAAGTTTCTTATATTTAAATTTTTTATTTTATAATAAAGTAGTTGATCTATGATAGATATTTATAATTTAAGAATATTTTTGAATATTAGGTTTATGTTGAAGCTAAAAATATAGTAAAAAAATTTAGTTTCAGACAAAACTTTTGTTTTTGAGGATATAACAACAAAACATATAAGTTTTTAGAAAGAATTATTGATAAGATTACGATTAAAAATTTATTTTTATTTTTTAAATTTTTTTATTAGTTATTTTAATATTTTGAGAGCAGACGAATAAAATAAAATAATATAAAATTTTAGAAAAAAAAAAGAATGAGAAAATAAAATTTTTTTGTTTTTATTTTTAAAATATTGTTTGATAAAAAATATTAAGAGTATACGCCACATGATGTAAACAATGTTTGAGGCTATTAATAGGGAGATACCAATTTGAATGAATTTTTATTCTACATGCTCAATCTGAATTATAAAAAAAATATTATTGTGAATTATGTATAACTTTATTAAATCATTGAACATTGAATATGCATCGATACTATTTTTTTGTCACGTTCTTATCTCACAAACTAAATAACTCATTTTGTACCTATGCCTTCATAAATGCAACTCGTGTACAAATAACCTTGTCTCTTAAGCATTGTCTCTTCAAGACGAAAACTCATATTTAAGTACATAAATTCGTAA